TGTGCCACCAGGCATGTTTGAGGGGTGGGAAAGGGAAATACTGCCTCTTTATCCAACCTATTTTCTGTCTGCCATCCTCCCAACCTTCTCCCTGCAACATATTTACCAAATGCTTGTTATCTTTACCTCCGTTTCCATAATTCATAGCCTCCGTTTTCTCTAACCCCGATTCCCCAGGGTTAGAGTTTGAAAAGGAGTCTCAGATCTCCCCCATCCTCTTTACTCTGTCAACCTCATACTTTATGTGGGAGGCCATGTGACCAGTCAATGCCTCACCTACTTCCCTACATTGTGCTTTTTTTATTTCTTTGCTATCAAGTTGTTTTCCATTCATGCAAGAGACATCATGTGTGCAGACTAGAACTACTCTCTATATAGGGCTTTCAAGGCTATGACTTTTCGGAAGCAGATTGCCAGGTCTGTCTTCTAAGGTGCCTTTGGGTAGATTTGAACCACTAACCTCTCGCCTAGTAGTTGAGTCCTGAACCATCATTTATTCCACCTCTGTCTAAAGAACTTTTAATAGTCATGTACTCAGGTTTCCCAAAATAATTCAAACTGCTGAGGCACCAGCAGAAGTTTAACTCCCAGAGCTTCATTGTTGTTGTTGTTAAGTGCCGTGGAGTCAATTTTGACTCAGCAACCCTGTAAGGGTGGGGAACCAATTTTCTGCCAAGGGCCATTTCGATATTTGTATCATTATTCTCAGCCCATACAAATTATCAACTTAAAAAAATTAGCCTGCTATATTTGGTCAAACATTTTATGAACTCACCCCTAATGTGATGGTTGGAACTGCAGTTGCCTTGACAGGACTGCCTGGTGGGTTTGAACTGCTGACCTTATGGTTAGCAGTGTGCTTATCCTACAGTGCCACCACACCAGAGCTGCTTTAGGGGCACAAATGAATCCTATTAGCTTAGCGTGGCTCTGAGGGGCAGACAAAAGATGGGAAGATCTGTGCTGTGGAGATATATTCAGGTCATCAAGGTGAATCCGGGTGTCATGCTGTAGGATAAGCACTGGGCTGTTAGCCACAAGGTCAGCAGTTCAAATTCACCAGCTGCTCCTTAGAAACCCTATACAGGGTCACTAAGAGTCAGAACCAGAACCGATTCTAGGGCACTTAACAGCAATAAGGTAAGTGAGGGGGTCAAGGGTTGCTCCTTCTGCCTCAGGGGCATGTTCTTTCTGGAGAGAAATCTCTGGCACAGGCCCGGGGGCAGCAGTGTATCTACAGATAAAAGGATAATAGCACCTGTGACAATTAGTTTCAAATGGCTGAATGATCTCTCTGATCAACTGATAAATAGAAATAATAGATATTGCTCAGTGGTGCTCCTCCACCCCCCAAATGGCACCCAGGGTATGTGTCATGCCTGCCAGGCCCTAAATAGTCTCTGTCCCAAGTGTGTTATCACCATCCTCCTGTCTGGTTCAGGCCCACCCTTCTCTCTTTAGTCAAAATTTCTAACCCAACCTCTTCCCTACACTTTCCTATCTGAGCCTCTTTCTTCCTGTATGATGATATTTCCAATATCATCCTTGGAGGCATCTTCTCCCTCCCTGGTACTCTGACCTCATCCTTCACAACATTATTTCTGGGAAAAACCATAAAGCAATAGTGACCTTACAGCACAATTGGTCCCTGTTCCCCCTCCCTCATGTGTAGATTTCACCTCTCCCTCCACCCGGATTTTTAAGAACTGGAAACACAGGAAATAAAGTCCCAACCAAGAGAATCCAGACAGGACCAGCTTTCCACAGACCTGTGCACTGTAGTTCTGCATGCAGCTGGAATCCTACCCTTGATGTTGGTCTTATGCTGCCTCCTCATCAAAATCTCACTGAGCCTTTCTCAGTGACCTCAATCTGAACACAGGCAGCATTTAGTCTGCACCATTCACCTAAATTCTTATTCTGTCTTCTGTTATCTTTCCCTTGGGTCTGGGCCAAAAAGATTTTTGTGTAGGTGGAATCTAGTCTATGCTGGGGGGAAGGGGCTTAGAATTGGGAGAGCTGAAAGCTTCAGGCAGACTGACAGCTGAGTTCTTGGGTCTGAGTGGCCGGCCAGGAGGCAAGGCTTACATGGATGAATTTCAATCTCCTTTCAATCCTTGCCTCCATCTCCTGCTTAAGGCTACAACTTTAACTCACCCCAAAAGGAGGAATTCTATCTGGTGACAGAATCTGGTGGGAAGTCCCCCTTTTGTCATAGAAGTTCCAGAAACATAAGTAATAGGTAAGCCACTATCCTCATTGGTGTTATAAAATGAGGCCCTGGTGGCTCCCCACCCATTTACCGTATCAGAAATGTCACCCCGCCTTCATGAACCAGACTCTCAGAGCTATAGGGACATCAGAGACTATCTAGTTGAATTTCTTTATACTAATGAAGGTTTGGGTTAAGGCAGTATTTCCATAAAATTCCATTCAAATATACTTTTGTTAGCTGGGAAGGGTAACAGCATGAGCACATCTGTGCCAGTGGACTTTTTAGTGGCGTTTAAACACTCGAGTCCTGGTGTGGCACTGCGGGTTAATGTGCTGAACTGCAAGGTTGGTTTGAACCACATGGTTGATAGCTCAAGCTCACCAGCAGCTCCTCAGAGCTTGTTAAATGCCATCAAGTCAGAACAGACTTGATGGCACTTAACAACAACAACAAACACATAACTGTTATCTAGCAGAGAACCTGGCCTTGGGGGAAGAAGGCTATAGGGTGGAGTGGTTAAGTTTTAACTGAGGTGTGAGGTGTGAAAGGTTAGAACAGTTTCCAGAGAGCCCTTCTAAATGTCTTGGGGCAACTCAGGGTTGAGCATGGCATTGGGGGCCAAAAAGGTGATGAGGAGGGCACAACCTTCCCAAATGCCCCAAAGTGGGGGCTTCCAGCTTCAGAGAGTACCCAGGGAAGTGCGGAACATGCTGGCTGCCTACTTTGGCTCCATTTACTGAGGTCTGCCCACTAGAGGCAGCCCCCTTTTTAGCTTTGTATTCTATGGAATCCTGGTGTGGTCCTGTAGAATAAGAACCACAAGGTTGGTGGCTCAAACCCACCAGTCAGTCCTCCTCGGAAACCCTATACAGGGTTTGTATGAGTTGAAACTGACGCGACAGCATGTAAGAACATTTCTACTCAAAAAGGTTTTCCAGGGCCTATGACCCACACTTATCTCCACACCGCCCCCTGTTTCTAAGGGAATGGTGCTGTCTTTGTATCCCATAAGGTTCACCCTCCCACCCCCTGACTTGTGACGCCCACATACCTGTGCTCCCTGTTGCTCTGCTTCTGTTCCAAGCTGGCTTTCGCTGCCCACTTGGCTTGGGCCTAGGCTTGGCTGGTAGGACCTGCTTCTGGGCTGGGTAGGGGCACACCCACCTCAGCAGATCACAGCACATGCCTTTCCAGATCCGCCAATTCACCCAACCCCACACAGGGCAGTGAAGAGTGGGGCAGTGAGAGCTGTACCCTCAGAGGCCTTCACTTCACGACAGACCAGTGAAGAAGTCCCTGCAGGTAATGACACTGAACCCAGCCCCTAACTCTTGCCGACTAACAACTCCCCCACCGATCACTCATATACAGACTCAGACACTCACCATGGAGTTTCCGCTAAGCCTTACTGGCACACCCACCCCACAGATGCCAGATGACTAACTAACCAGTTTCTCACTAGTTTCCCCTGGGTGTCTCCCTTCCTCTCTTGAATCTGTCAGGTGGTTTAGCCTATGCCGCTTGTAGCTTGTACCTCATGCTGCCCAGGGTCCCTCTGTCTGCTGGTATTCTACTAGGCCCTGCCCCTCATGTGGAGTGCACAGAGCTCTTCATCACCCAGTGGTCAGGTTGGATTGCTCCTCTTTGTCTATTTCCCCCAGGCTGTGTACTCTGGGAATGCAGGTGGCTCCCTGGTCCCTGTATCCTCCAGCTGAGTACGGGGCTGGGCATGTTGGTAATACTCAGTAATCAAAAATTACTTCTAGTGTTGGGTGGTAGGTGAGAAAGTGTACTGTGGTTGAATTTGTTTCTCTATTACAGGGCTTCTCAGGGTCTTTAAGATGCTGTTTAAAAGATTGACCAGATGTTGATCATTGAATTTGGGTGAAGGGTGCATGGGGATGCAGTAGACCATTCTGGTTTTGTGCATGTTTGAACTTTCCCATAACACATAAGCTTTTAAAAATGCTGTGAACCTCTCAAAGAGGAACAACTATATGATTTGCCAAAGGTATGTATCCCCAGAATACACTTTAGGAGATATTAAGTTATTAAAGGCCAACACTGGAGTCACACCTCAATGTATGTTATCAAGAATAATCACTTCAATATTTAGATAATCTGGCAAATCCTTGGAGTTCAAATCAAGGGTTTTCTGGGCTCTAGGCAATAGCAAACTCCTCCCTATTGATAAAGGACAAGTTTTGCACACTTCCTTGGTGTTGATGTCTTAGACTTAATCCCAAGCAAGGCTCTGGCCTTTATCTTCAGGAAGACAATCCTACACTCACATCTGAAATCATGGGGCCCAGGGCTTCAGAAACGCAGATACATATACCCTTTGTGGCCCACATGACCACCAAGACCCTAGCCATGATCTTCAATTGCAATTCCTGAGGTCTTCTGCTTTTTGTGACAGATGGCTACGTCCATGAATACCATTCCCATGGGAGTCTCTCCCCTGTAGATGGATCAAAAAATCTGTGGGGCTGGAAGGGCTTATTCCCAAGGGGCAGGGCAGCAGAGCTACGAATAGGGATCGTAATCAACAGAGGCCACACAGGCTGAAAAAAAATACTTTATGTAAAGACATCTTTTAGTTTAGATGGAGCTCCCATGACAGGCCTTTCCGGTACTACTGCCCCATCCCAAGGAAAACATGAGGAGGAGCCAGGTAACAGACCTGATGGGTTCACCTTGAAACAAACTGACAGATGGGGCATTTAGGAGTGATGGAGAATTTGGAAAGGATGGGCTATAGGGTGGGAGCAGGATGGACCCCAACTCATCCTGCTTGGCCTAGAGTCAAGGTACTAAACTCCTGGCTCCAGCGAAGCACAATATCCTCACTTTTGGCCTGGGTCATCACATTGTAAGTCTCATTCTGCATACATCTCATACGGGATACCTGTAAGGTGTGGAGGAGAGGGTGTGTGTCAGAGCCCCACAAGATAAGGATGTGGGCATGAGCACCGAGTAGTAGAGAGAAAAAGGGAACTTGGATGTGGGTTTTTAAAAGCTGCAGGAGACACCCAAGTAGCCCAACCCCCTCCTTTCAGGAACAAGGTAGCTGAGGTTCCAAGGGAGAAGTGACTTATTCCAAGCTCTTGGGTGAGTAAGAACAAGAGGCAGGACTGAGACAACATCCAGTTCCCAACTCAGTGCCTCACTTCTTACCTGAAACATCCCTCCAGGCTCCCTTTCTGACTTGGGAAGGGCCTTGCTTATTCCAAGACAGGTGAAGGGGGCTCTGGTGAAGGCTTCTGCCCCACAGATACAGGTGGAGAACTGCTCTCCACTCCTGGCTGCTCTTAGAGGGAGCCGACCAACCTTGGTGACTAACTGATTCTGATAGGAGGAGGAGGGAGTGGGAGGAGGCTCACCTTCCGATCTTGGTTTCTCATCAGACACTGCTGGCTTTTAAAGGCACAATAGTTTGGATACTGCACGTAGTCTGTGTCACAAATCTACGGCAGGAGGCAGGAAGGTGTCAGAATCCCCTAATGACATCAGCTGTCTAAAGACTATCCACAATGGTAGGAACAAGAATGGGGGTGGGGTCCCTGAGAAACAGGGCTTCCACATCCAGGGTGTTCCATCCTTCAGCTTCCTCTCTGAGGTACAGGCTTTTTCTTCCCCACTGCCTCTCCCCTCCCACCTTCAGTCACAGGTAAATTGTGGGGAAGGAGCCATGAGCCTGGGAAAATGAGAAGTGGCTGTCTCTCTGGTCAGTTTGCTGGGACAGTGACTAAGGAATGGGGAAAGGAAATAGGGGTTAAAGGAACAGAACAGAAAGGTTCAAAGGTGGTCCAATTATCAGTCTCTTTCTGGTGGTCTGAGGGAGAAGGTAGAAGAATTTTTAATGTGTGACTTTGGATGAATCAGTTCCTTCTTTGTCCCTTGCCCTCTTATCTATAAATCCAGAGGGGTGGCCAGGATGGTCTCTGAGACCCCTTCCACTTCTAGGAGTCAGGAGAGAAGATCTGGGCATGAGACCCTCAGCTCAGCTAACTTAAGCTCTACTTTTCCTTGCCTTGGTTCTTCCTGCTAAACCACAGAAGGGAGGTACCTGGCTCTCAGACAAAACATGTGTGGTTACACATGGGTGGCAACTTTGAGGGAAGAGCAAAGTTGATTTCACTGAGCAGGGAAGGCACTGGAAGAGTTGGAGAAGGAACTGAGAGACTAAGGTCAGAAAGCTTTGGATCACTGGGTTGGGCAGCACCTTATGAATCACCTAGTCATTTATTACAGAAATGAGTAATCTTAAGGAGCCCTGGTGGTGCCAACAGTTAAGCCCTTGGCTTAAAGGTCAGTGTTTGAACCTACTAGCCACTCTGTGGGAGAAAGTGTGCAGTTTGCTTCCATAAAGATTTACATCCTTGGGGAGTCTATTAGGCAGTTCTATTCTGTCCCAAAGAATTGTTGAGTCGAAACAGACTGGACAACAGTGGCTTTGCTCTTTTTTTTGTTGGTTGGTTTGTTTTTGTTTGAGTAATTTTGAGCAAAAGTGAGAAGTGACTGGTCCAAAGCCACTCAGCAAGTAACTAACAGAGCTGCGACCAGAACCTCCTGCCTTCCAGTCCTGTGTGTTTGACCTCTCCAGCTTCCTATCCTTTTGTCAAACACAACCCTATTCAATGAGGTTGTGGGACTGTCAGTGGGCATAGTAGAGGACTGGTTTTCGGAAACCAGGGGCCCAAGCCTGCCTCATTCCAGCTCCTAATGCTACCTAGAGAATTATACAGATGGGATGGGGCTGCTCTTTGGTAAAGTCTCTGACCTTGGTGGGAAAATCTCCATCCTGGAAGCTGAGGAACTCAGTCTGCAGCCAGCCGGCGACTCGGGGATCTTCACAGCCCTTTGTGGCAAGTCGGCCACACCAGAAGTCCATACGGAGCCCGCCATACAAATCCAGCCCATAAAAGCGGCCTGCTTGTTTGGGCCCTGTCTGTAGTACAGGGGACAGGGGAGAGGTACAGGCCCCTGTCCCCCAGCAGGCCTCCCTGCCTACTGCCCATTCTGCCTAGAGCCTGTAATGTCCCCCACTGCAGGCTTTCCTGCTAGGTACCTGGGTGCCAATAGATATGCTCTGGGATGTGAGGAAGGGACTGACGAAAGCTGTTTTGTGGGAGCCATCGCACAGCTGCCGCTGCAGGTTGGCTTCTGAGTGGCACTGCTCCAGTTTTAGGGAGCAGAAGTCACAGAGGGCACAGGAAGGTGTGTGTCTCCGCCCAAGATTGTCACAGACCTGTGTGGGAGTGCGGGAGAGAAGCTGAGGCTAAGACTTGGCAGCTGGCCCTCTCCCACACCTCAGCCCTAAGAGCGCTCTGGCCCAGAGAATGAATGCCTCTCCATCAAGGGACTTCAGAGAGCTTCTCTGGCTTTTCTCGCAGCTTCCCTCCCAAACGTTACTAAAGGATCTGGCCTCAGCTGGCTATTTTCGGCAACCTCTTCTTGGGTGATTTATCTACTTCCAGGTAAACTTCATCTCCCTGTAGGTAACATTCAAATCTTTATCACCAGCTCTGATCACTATCTCAAACTCCAAATCCTCATTGTCAAGTGCCTGATAAATGTCTACCAGGGAATGACCTACAATAGACCCCTAATGTGGCCTGTATGGAAAGATCTCATACTTTCTTCTTGGACTCTCGAATATTTATGAAGAAGTGACATAGTGCTGGGCACATAATGCTGGGCACTCTGGCCAAAAATGCCATTCAGTTCTCATAGGAACCCTATAATAGTATGTTATTGTTGTTGTTGAGTGGCATCTAGTTGGTTCTGACTCATAGGGACCCTATATAGGGTTTCTGAGAATTTACATCTTTGTAGGAGCTGAAAGCCTCATCTTTCTCCTATGAAGTAGCTGTGGGCTCAAAACTCTGACATTGTGGTTCACAATCCAGTGCTTATCCTATGGATCTACCATGCGCCCTATAATTGTTGTTGTTAAGTGCCGTCGAGTCGGTTTCGACCCATAGCGACCCTGAACAGGGTTTCCGAGGCTGTAAATCTTTACGGGAGCAGATTGCCTCAGCTTTCTCCCGCGGAGCAGCTGGTGGTTTGGAACTGCAGACCTTGCGGTTCGCAGCCCGATTCGTAACCACTACGCTACCAGAGCTCTCTGTGCCCTATAATAGCATGCTGTTATTAAGTACCATCAAGTCAGTTCTGACTCATAGAGACCCTGTATAGTTTCCAAGGAACAGCTGGTGGATTTGGACTGCCAACCTTGCAGTTAACAGTGCAGTACTAATACTACAACACCATACCATAGCATTGTTGTTGTTGTTGTTGTTAAGTGCTGTCGAGTCGGTTCCTACCCATAGTGACCCTGTACAGGAGCGGCTGGTGAGCTTGAACCGCCGACCTTGCAGTTCAAACGGCTTTGCAGTCTGACGCATTAACCCACAGCGCCACACCAGAACTCCACACCATAGTATAGGTACTAATAATATCCCCATTTGACTGATGAGGAAATTTGAGGCCCAATGATGTTCACTAACTTAGTCGAAGTTATATATCTAATATATAAATATATATATATATATATATGAGCTGGGATGTGGGGCCAGGTCTTTCTATTTCCAAAACCTATGCTCTACCCTGGTCAGTGCTATAGGATAAGCACTGGACTGCTAACTACACTCCCAGGAAACCCTATACAGGGTTGCTATGAGTCAGAATGTACTCAGCGGCACATAATAAATGTTCTGCCCAAATACCTGGAGTCCTGGTGTGGCACAGGGGTTAATGAGCTGGACTGCAAGGTTGGTTTGAGTTCAAGGTCGGTGGTTCAACCTCACCAGCTGCTGCTCCTCAGATACCCTATACAGGGTCACTATGAGTCAGAACTGACTCAACAGCACTTAACAATAACACCCAAGCACCCAGATTAGGCATTCTGGAATAAATTTATTCATCTCTTAGCTGGGCTCTGCTCTGATATAGTTTCCTCAGCACTATCAGGAGGATCTTGCTAAGAAGCATCTTCAGTCAAGCCCATCATTCTCCTTCCTCACTGATGGGCAAAGCATGTCACAGTACACGGAACCTCTGACATCATCTTGTATATTCCTTGCAGCAGAATGTCCCTGCCCAAAAACTATACTGAATTCCTCTTCTCTACTCCTGGTGTGGCACTGTGGGTTAATGCACTAGACTGCAAAGCTGTTTGAACTACAAGGTCGGTGGTTCAAGCTCACCAGCTGCTCCTCAGAAACCCCATACAGGGTCACTATGGGTTGGAACTGACTTGATGGCACTTAACAACAACAACAACAACAACCAAATTTAAGATAAGTGCTTTAGATTGCCACTTAACATTTTCATATTATGACTCTTATCTCAGGTATGGTGCTGTAGGATAAGTACTGGACTGCAAGATCAGTTTGAACTGCCAGGTCAGTGGTTCAAATTCACCAGCCGCTCCTGGGAAACCCTATACAGAGTAGTGACTGAGTTGGAACACTGACATTTAACACAACAACAATATCAACTCAGGTAAAATTCAAGTAAAATGGACTCCTTACTGTTTCCTTAACCAAGTCCTAACATCCAATAAGCACTCCATGACCCCTGAACTTCCACTTTTTAAAAAAACTTTCTTTAACATCTACTACTTTTCTTTTACTACTTACTGTATGTATACTAACCTCCTTACTGGGCTGTAGGTCCCATAAGAGCAGGAAAAGTTTGTTCTTTCTTATTCCCTCAGGAAATCTCCATTCTTTCTTCTTCCGGAGCCTATGCACCTACTAGTCTCTCTGCCAAGAACTTTGACCTGGCCCCTTCTCTACCTGGCTAACTTCTTTTCATCTAACTATCTCAGCTTAAACATCACTTCCTCTAAGAAGCAGTCTCTGATCCTCCTAAACATGGGAGAATCGTACACCCATCTACTCACTCTGCACTCTGTTCCTATCTCTATTTCAGCATTGATCCAATCACACTGCGCTGTCCACTAGACTCCAAGAGGACAAAGAACTGGAATAATTTTACTTACTGATAAAACTCAGTATATGTTGTTGTTGTTAAGTGCCATCGAGTGCCCAATTTGTTGAACAAATGGATGAATGAATGGCATAGTCATGCTAAATTGTTTGCTAAATTATAAATTGAAAACCTAAATGGTATTTTCCTGGGAATCGACTTGCTGAGTGCTGAGGACATGTGACAATTGGACCTCTCTTTACAGGTTCCCAGGAATGGACTCTCTGTCCTTTCTGGAAAGGAGAGCTGACTCTAAAGCAATGCTATGTATTAACAATGGCAAGTGAGTTTAAGAGATGATTCAGGCCTGATATCTCAGAGAGCTAAAGAACGAATTTCAAACTGGAATGGATTCCTGACTGGGACTTGAGCCTTCTTCCTTTAAGGTGGGCTGGAGAAAATGTCTTTCCAGAGAAGGGATTCCTGCTGGGAGAGAATCTGTCTAACTATGCTTCATGCTTCCTGTGTAACTTCTCATCCCTCATGTCCAGAGGATGCCCAGTAAGCATGTATCCCTAAAATAGCATGAAAGGCATACCGGCCTTCCAAAACCAAGGATTTCCTCCTCCATGAACTGCCAGGCCTTAGCAGTGGGAGTCATGATGCAGGCGGTCTCCACAATCGAATAGCACAGCACCAGCATGGCTTCCACATGGGGCAGCTGCAGGAGGCTGCAAGAAGACAGCACTGGCTGGTGGGGAGCAGGCCACAGGGCTGGGAGCAGAAAGCCACATCCTCTCTCTTCCCCTTCTCTTAGCATCTGGTATTGGTCACAAACATTGTGCAGGCTGGATGGGCCTTAGAAGCTTTGGGACCAACTGACTCCTTTTACAAATGAGGAACTGAGGTTGATAAAGAAAAGGGAAGTGACTTTTCAAAGGTTGCAAAACTAATCAGGGCCAGAGTAAAGAACATAACCAGGCCTGGTAGCTTCAGGTATAGAGCTCATCAGCCAATGATGGGTATGGAGTAAGTGAGGTAGAAAGTTGCTAGGTGTGCCTGAAGACCAATCAGGTCTGAGTGGGTCTGAAGGCCAAAGCTGGGCAGGTGGGTTTCTTATTCCCAAAGAAGGCAGCAGAGAAGGCAGGGCCAGTGAGGGAGTCAAAAAATCCTTTACCTGCCACGGTTTGAACTTTTCCAGGATTCCTCATCATAGGCTCCATTCATTTCATCCATTTCTTGGGCTGATCGAATGAGTTCCTGGATGTTCTCCATCATCATAGGAGTAGACTCCACTTCCCTTACCCTGGGAGTGAAGGAGGAAGGATTGGAAGATAAAGATTCAGATTGAAACTTGGGCTCTGGGTCTGTCTGCAGTCCAGACATGGTCTCCAGTCCTTCCTCTGTCCCTTGTCCTTCCTCCTGCTTTGCCTCCTCTTCTTGTTCCTCCTCTTGCTCTTCTTGTTCCTGCCCTTCCTCCTGTTTATGCTCCTGTCCTTGCTCTTGCTTGTGTTCTTGTCCTTGCTCTTGCTTGTGATCTGACACTTGTTCCTGACCTCCCAGGGACAAGGAGGACTGTAGCAGTTCCTCCACATTGTTGTTAAGCCGCTCAGGCCAGGGCTGGAAGACCTGTCGCTCTGTGGCTATAGCAGGATTTGGGAGGGACCAAGAAGAGAAGAGAAAGGGACAGTTAGGTTCATAACCCCCAGTGCCTTTGCTCACAGAGCGGTACACACATAAACAAACACAGGCAAAGGAAAGTAACCACACTTACATATATGCAGTCAAGTTTAAAAAAAACACAGAAAAGAATATGAGTATTAAAATAAAAGAATAATATTATGGCAAAATAGTGGTGTTCACCTTCCTCCCTCCTTTACAAGCAATCTTCTTCCCTAATTCCCACCTCAGATCCCATTTTTTGTCCCTCTCACAACTGTTTGTTGTTTTTGTTGTTAAGTGCCATCGAGTCAGTCCCAACTCATAGCAGCCTGTGTAGGGTTTCCCTTGCAGTTCAAACTGACTTTGCAGTCTATGCAGTTCCACACCAGGATCCTCTCACAACTGTTAACTATTCTGTATTTAGAATATACCCAATATTCTGAATAGCTAGCAACTAAATTTTTCTAGTTAGTTTAAAAGTCCCAGGGGACTTCCAAATACAGGAATACCTTTGAGATTTATGGTGGGGTTAATGAAAAAAAATGGATTCCAGGCAGAATTATAAGAAATGGTGGGAGAGATTCTGGGATAGAAAAGCCTTAACTTGAATTCACACAAAACAGGCGTTCCCTTATGTAAACAACTGTTTGTCGCTACTTGCAGACCCCTCTCAACAGTCTTCCTTTTCCCTACCACTGATAGTTTGGCCTCTAGGATTTGCAGGAGTTGTTGGTAGTCAGCTAGGTGAATGGAGGATCTCACCTGTGACATGTGATGAGATGGGAGAGGTCACTGTGGTGGGTGGGACTTCGGCTGGAGTGTCAATCTCCTTGAGAGTGTTAGGTGAGAGAATTGAGACCGGCTGGGAGCAACGGACCCTCTGCAAAGAGAGAAGGTGAGTGGGAATGTCTTTCCCAAAGGGGGCATTTCTCACTTCTCACAGATCTTAGGCAAGATTGAAAGGACAAGATCCCTGCAAGAAGAAGACTTGAGAAAAAGGGTTTCTCTGTAAGTTAAAACTCACTTTGTCTGGGCCATATGCTTACCTTCATTCTTCTGTATTTGATTTGAATGAAACCATTGACTTCTTAAAAGAAATGGTAGGACTTAGCTCTTTGCCCTCTTCCCATCTCTGTCCCTGATTTTTTCCCAGTTATGGACAGTCTGAATGCCCAAGGTGAGACTGTATTCGTATAAAAATTGGGTAAATGATTGGCAAAATGGTGGAATGGAGGAACTAACGATGACCCCTCCTGCAGCTCTTCAACTCCCTGCTGCCACCACCTCTCGTTTCACCCTGGGATCAGATCCAACCTGCCCTAGGCCTCACCTTGGCATAGTAGACGTGGTTGGAGCAACGATACTGAGTAAACTGGCAGAAAGACTCAAACCACGAGGCATAGGGGAGGTCGGAACAGACAGCACCTGAGAAAGGACAGGGGAACAGGTAAACACCCGGGTGGGAGGAGAGGGGACCCTTCCAGGAAGGACAGCGGACTTTTTTGGTTCCTGAAGGAGGGAGGAAGACACGGACAGGCTTAAGGTAAAGTATCAGCCATATCATGTCCTTCCGCTGTCTCAAGTTCTGCCCTGCGTGAATTCTGGGTGCCTCCATTTCTCCACTAGTGTGGTACTTACCGTCAGGCACCAAGCCATGATTTTCATACTGGTCTAGCTGGACGAGTGTGGGATTCCGGCAGCCGTGGGTTGCACGGAGACGGCAGGTAGTCTCTGCCTTCCAAGTTGGGGTTAGCAATGCGAAGAAACGTTCATACTCGGTGGGAGAGAGAGGGCTGCCTGGAGTGGAGCTCGAAGTCGGATCCTGGGCTGGGGCAGGTGCTGGATTCAGGAGTAGCACTGCAGGGTGAGGGACAGATGGATGGATGGATGGACCGAACAGCAAAATCCTCTCAGGGAAGAGGATAGACTCAAATTAGCATCCGGGCCCTGTATTATGAAGGCACTGGGGAGTCCTGGGAAAGATGACCAAAGGTGAGGGAATGCTAGGGACAGAGGCAAAGGTCAGGCCCTCCGAGGAAAGGATCAGGATCTCAGAAGCTAGGGCGCACATCCAACGCTGCTAATAGGAGAAAGCCTATCTGAAACAGTAAGAGGGATTTCAGGGAGTACCGGGCCGGAAGAAAGAGACCATCGGAGCAAGCGGGAGCCTCTCACCCTTGAGGAATGAGAGAAGGAAGCCAGCAGTCAGCTTCCTCATGGCCCCGGAAGATCTGCCCGAGTTTTCCTGACCAAAGCAGCTCCCAACGGGCCCGAAGCCACACAGAAAGCCGGCGAGGCGCGGGCTAAAGCACGGGGAGTTGAGAAGGTGTGACCCAGACGTCACAAATGTAGGGGGCGGGGCCTCAGGCACCAAGGGGCGGGGCCTTGGGAAACTGACGCAGGTCCTGGAGGGCCAAAGTGTGCCAGGGTGTGTGGGTGCTGACGCGACAAGACCCCACTCAGCATAATGATGGCAAAATTGACCATTTGCTTAGCACAATAAAACAAAATTGTTTTGGCTTATGAAAATAGTTCTCACACTGAAGGTCATCTTGTTAGAAACATGTGCCTGGCTGTATAATCATCTTTTATAGCTATGACGAACTACAACTTTTAAAAGTACCTGGTCTTGTTTCACATAATTGTATTTAGGTGATCAGGTTTACTGAAGAAAACACTTCAAACTCATTGTTTCAGAAAACATAGCCTCTTAAGACTGCAGAGGTTTATAACATTCTGATTATGTGACTGACTGGTTTCTAGTTAAGCTTTGATGTTTGAGCTCATTATGCTCTTAGAAAATTTATGTATTCTGACATAATTACCAACTAATCAAAAATTTTTATTCAAAGTTGCCAGTGAAATGATATATTTTGTGTCATCAATTCCAATTTAATGCAACTCTTCAGAATAGTAGAACTGCCCCATAGATTCCTAGGTTGTAATTTTTACTGGAGCAGATCACTATGTCTTTTCTTTTTTGAAGTGCTTAACCACTGTCTATCAGTATCCTGAACTTTTTAATTAGAGCACTGATTTATTTGGGATGACATGCTGCCCAATTTGCAAACTATGACACCTACATTGTTAAGTGCCGTAAAATTGATTGTGACTCATAGCCATCCTTTATAGGGTTTCTGAGGTTTCAGATCTTTCCAGGAACAGAAAGCTTCATCTTTCTCTTAAGGTGCAGCTGGCAGGTTCAAACCGTGAACCTTGTGGTCCAGTGCTTATTGTCTGGAAACACCGTTGTTACCATTAAACTTATATAACAATCTGTTAATAGTGTTCTGAGATGATATCTTCAGTGGAAGAGATTCTGTTATTTATGTGTATTACCTTCTTTAATTTCCATAGTAATCCCAAAGGGTAGCTAGTTATCATCTTTATTTTACAGATAAGGACAATAAAGCTTGGAAGAAGCCATTTGCCCAATAGTTGGTGAGGTTTAGATGTAAGCACAGGCAGGGTTCTGGGACAGGCAGAGATGGAATGTATCAAATAAGATTAGGGCCTACCTGGCAGGAACTAGAGAGGAAGCTGTGTGTAATAAATGTGCCAAAAGGGAAAAACAAAAGCAGGATTCAGATGGAGAGAGTTCAAGTATAGAGATGGTTCAGTACTCTAAGTGAGTAGTTTTCATGTGGGAAGTGAACAAGACAATCCACTGGGGTATGGGAAAAACATATTTATCTAGTTTGTGTTTCAAATATGACATCAAGCTAATATTTAATATTGTAGTACATGTATATAACACAAATACATTTTTATTAAAACTTAAGTGAAAAATGTTTAATGGAGAAAAGATGCACAATTTCAAAAGGTTTATTTAAGGCACCACCCCCCGGCTTTGTCTTTCTTAAGTTGAGAAGTTATGAATTCTCTTGTAAAGGTACCACTCCTGGTTCCTCAACCTGTCCTACTCTGGCATGTCATCCTCCTGCCTCTTATCCATTCCAGACGATGCAAAAAGAATGCTTTGCATATTGTACTTAAATAGTGTATGTACAATAAACACAGCAGACCAACATGTATAGCTTTTATTCATCTACCCAAATTCCTTTACATGTGCTATCTGTATACCACCAGCCCCTCCCCCACTAACAAGGCCACGATGAATCCCTCTGGCACGGAGGAAGGGGTGCCCTTTCAAATAGGGCTATAACCCAGATGATCTGGGGAGCCCGCACCATGGAAAAAGCAAGAAGAGAATGGAGAAGAAAGTTTATCACACCACAGTGCCCCCATGGTTAGGGGGGCGTAGGCTAGAGGGCTGGTGGAAGCCCCCCATGCTACTGCTCCAGTCTTTAAATACAAAGCAAGGGGCATAAAGAGGACCACCCCCTCTGAAATACAGCACCAACCTCAGTATGGAGGCAAAAGGAGAGTGGGCAAGACCACTTCCTCTGAAAGGGGAGGGCTGAATGAGAGCACATACCGTTAGTGGCTGCAGCACCCCTCCCTACCAGGGTTTGGATGCAGCCTCAGCACCAGGAGTGGGGGAGGGGTGGAGAAGAGATGACAGCACTGTAGCATTCACTTCTCCCTGAACCCCCTGGCCCCAGCACAGGCATTCCTCTCCCCGCTAGCCCATGTCAGGGGACGTGGAAACAACTGTATGGAATCCAATGCCTTGTCTATTTCTTCTTCCGTTCTTGGGAGCAGCGTGGGCAAAACCTAGAGAGTCACATGAAAGAGGAGGCGAGGGAGAAAGTAAGTGAAAGGGAGAATGCCCTCTGTCACTGAGCTTAGGACAGTCCAATTTCTATCGTTAACTTTCACTCACCATTTCCCTCGAGGTTTGGTTGTCAACCCCACACAGGCAAAGTGGAACCACTCAATGGAACACTGGAAAAGGAAGATGAAGAAAGAAGTATAAGTTAGGGGGCTGAGGAAGGGCAGAGAAGAGAAAGGAGACCCCCACAGAGATTCCTCAGGAGTGTGCCCTTATTCCATGCCTTCAGAGAATCCCTGGAGTTCCCAAGGCCAACCACAGCAAACTACCTATTATTAAGTCCTACTATTCAAGCATGTGTTACCCCCAGCCCTTGTACCCACATCCTTACATCCCCCTCCAAAACCCCCCTTCCTGAGGCAAACTGGTTCTCACATCAGGGTTGTCACAGCCAATCATTTCTCCATAGGAGACCTGGTGACAAAGGCAGTAGGTGGGTTCATTAGGATCCACAGGCATATCCAACACATCAGAGGGGTGGACACTGCCAAAGGTCACTGAGGGCATCCCATACTCAGGACTTCTGCAGGCCAAGAGGAAGAGAAAGTGTCATCTGCAGGAAGGAGAGACATAACCTGAGATTCTCAGAGGTGGTAAAAGGGGATCCTCGTGGGACAAGTGACTGTGGTTTCTCCTCTCTATCCAGAAGGTACGAAGTTCCTAAGTGAGGAGAAGAGTTATTGGCAGGCAAAGTGGCTAAGGAAATGTGGGGTGGGAGTAGGGGTGGATGGAAGAGAAGAGTATGTCATCTGGCAAAGTGCTTCCTGAAGCACTCACGTGCGCACAAGTTTTAACTTCTTCTGAGCAGCCTTGGGGGCTTCTTCATCTGAGTTTTTCCCTTTGGAACGTGCACGGGCAGCTTTCTTCTCCTTTTGAGTCCGACCTTCTAGGAAAGAGGGGGATCGCCAGAAGGCAGGAAGATAGAAAGATGGTTAAGTCCCATGGTTCTTCGTCCATTTCCAACCTAGTGCCCCTCCCTGATGGATGAAGCGCCTGCTGCTTCTCCTTGGGACATTTTGCCCCATCTCTCACAGCCCCACCCGCCTCCTCACTCTTTTTGCCTTTGCTGGAGGAGCTGTCATAGTCACTTGACTCAATCTGCTTCTCCTTCAGATCAGCCTCAAAACGGGCCAGGTCTGTGTCCAGTCGTCGGATGTGTTTGTCCACCTGGATGGTAAGGAAGGAGAAGGGGGGAGGTACAAGACTGGTTCCAGTAAAGAAAATAGGCTAAGGCAGATTCTATGGATCTCCCAATGCAAACAGATGCCAACACAGCAGCAGAAGGACCCTGAGAATTATACTGGAGGTAGGTGGGGTGCCATAAACAAGGCCGTACCATCTCATAGGTCTGCATAGCAAGCTGCACCTTGTCATCACCGAATTCCTTGCACTTGCCATAGGCTTCCTGGATCTGTCTGAGAAGGGCCAATTTTTCTTCAGAGCTCAGGTTGCGGGCACTACTCATATACTCAGTAGCCAACTTGTCAATTTCAGCCTTCAGGTCTACAACAGAGACAGCGGTCTGGTCACAGTGGTCCCTTAGTGGCTAGGTAAAGCATACTTCTTCCTCTTGTTCCTCAGGCCTTTTTCATTCAACATCATAACTGATGAACTAAAATGAACTGAAGGTTCATAGGAATTGGGCTTGCTACGTACTCAAGTAAGGCAACACACTGACAATATTTGTTTTAAAGATGTCCTCACGGTGCTGAAACCACTGCTATCATGGTTGGAACTCATATAATTAAAACAACAAGGGATCCTGTGCATATTGTACTAACATGAAGATTACTTCGATTTATATTCAGGGATGCTTCTATGCAGGGCTTGCTGTTGCTTGAACCCTGAACTCTGCCTTAAAAGCTACCTGATTTCTCTTCTCCAAAACATCCCACAGCATCTCTATTACTGCAAACCAGGCTGAGTTATCAGCTGCCACTGGCATAACTACAGTTCATCATTTAAAATTAAGCTCTAGTTCATTCATAAGGAGCACTGGTAGCATAATGGTTACGAGCTGGGCAGCAGTTCAAAACTACCAGCTGCTCTGCGGGAGAAAGATGAGGCTTTCTACTCCTGTAAAGATTTACAGCCTCAGAAACCCTATGCAGGGTTGCTATGAGTCTGAACCAACTCCAAGGCACATAACCATCAACCACTACCACCAGGTTCACCCACATAATAGTTCTGCTTACCTTGTTGCCTACCCTAGTTTTTCATTTGCTACTTGCTTACATTCCCCATCACCGTTTTTTAGTTTGTTCATCTCACATGTTACAGCAAAGACTTCAATAGTGAAAGACTGGTGATTTTCCAGAACTCTGAGACTGTAGATGTGTACTATCTGATATTTGGTAGGGTTCATAAACAATGTTGACGAAGGTGACCAAAGTCTGGTGGTAGCACAATGCAGCAAGAGATTAGGGGAAGATCTGCAGATATACTACATTCATGCCCCACTTCATTCCAGGCCTTTGGAGTAA